TTAAGAACTTAATTCGTTCTGGAGGTCCATTCTTAACCTGAAACTGTTCTTAACCTGAGGTACCACTTTAGCTAATGGGGCCTTCCGCCACCACAGCACAATTTCTGTTCTCATCCTGAAATAAAGTTCTTAACCTGAGGTATTATTTCTGGGTTAGCATAGTCTGTAACCTGAAGTGTCTGTAACCTAAAGTGTCTGTAACCCGAGACAAATAGATATACTAATTGAAAAAAATATTTGATCTCAAAGTACACCTTTGTAAACTTATCGTGTCCCAATATAACATATACAATATAATGCACATTGGAATATTATTATTCTTTTGCCAAGAACTGTATCTCAAAGTGCAGTCGCACCTCAGAAGTTGAATGCCTTGCGACTTGAACGTTTTGGCTCCCAAACGCCACAAATCTGGAAGTGAGTGTTCCGGTTTGTGAACGTTCTTTAGAACCCAAACATCTGACGCAGCTTCCTGCAGCCAATCGGAAGCTGCGCTTTGGTTTCTGAATGTTTTGGAAGTCGAACAGACTTCCAGAATGGATTCCATTTGACTTCTGAGGTACGACTGTGTGGAGAAGTGTAAAATCCAAAGATAATTACATTCCACTCCATGTATTAGTGTGCTAGTAATTTGATCTCTCTCCTTTTTTTAATGGCAAAACTTGAATTTATATGTCTACTTACAGTACTTCACAGCAACCATTAAAAAAAGACTCTGCTCATCCATGTATTGATTTCTATCACCCTTTAAGGGCCTTCACCTCTTCTTCCACCCTTGCTTTTCTTTTTTTCCTGTTTAAGTGAAGGTCCTTGTATACAATTAAACTAATAGCTAAATGGATGAAAGATAAACTTCGTTTAATCAATTGATGCACTGGTGTGAAAGCATATGGAACACATTTATTACCTCTTTATGTCCAAGATGGATATTTTTCTCCATCCCACCCCCCGCCTTTATCGTACTTGCATTGTAACCAGACAAGGACAATCCTCAAGATGATAAATGAAATGGCAGCCATTTTATAACAATGTGACCTTGAGTGACACTGATCACACACATGACTGACGTGGAAGCTGAACGTTCGTAAATGACAGCTGGAGGAATAAACAGCAATACAACTCTTAATGTTCGAAACAGACCACCTGATACATAAGGTATCAGTCATCTTTCCTTTCTCTTTCCTTCCTTGAATGGAAAATATGTGAGTTTAACCGCTGTACAGTGGAGGGAGATGAAAAGAAGAGGTGGTGAGTGGATTGAATAAGAGAATTGTAATGATCCGGGAAATATTGTGATATCAAATCAGTTGTGGGTGAAGCCCAGTTGGTCTGTGTATTTCAGACCACAGTGCAAAGTATAGGAAAAATGCCAAAAATGAAATGGGCCAAGCCTCAGAAAGGTCTAATTATATATATGGAGACACTGGCTTGTCATCTCTAAGAATGCATGTTGTACTATGGGGTCTGATCTCATCTGGATTATTATTTTACAAAGTCTCTTCCCCTCCCAGGAGGGCAGTGTTGCAGGCAGGCCATGTACAGCAGGGGGCGTGGCGTTGCCACCCACGTCACAGGGAGTCTTCCTGGCAGCGTCACGCCCCCCAGCCGACCAATCCAGTCGACCGGGGGTGTGGCTTGCGTAATTTAAGCAGCCTCACGCATCTCCCACCCTCCTGCCCTGTTTTCATGTTTCATCTTGGCCTTGCTATGGACAACGGTTGGTTGCCTGTTGAGGGGGCCAGGTAGGAATTTCCCCACTTGGCAAATTGGTACCAGCCATCAGGTATTCACCTGCCTCGTAGCAATCATCACAACTTTGTAAGGATTGGCGGTTAGGCATTGGTAAAACCTGGTTTATGGGAGGGGAGGTTGTGGCCATCACCTGCCCCTCCGCTTTAAGGGTATTCTGTTAAAGGGATCTGGGGGTGTGGATATTGTCCAAAGCCCGGGTAAGGTTGAGGGCCATGCCATGACCCCATTGGGGACCCTAGGGGAGCTCTCAGTTGATGTACATCAACAGGGCTGCCCCTACTGGTGGTTGACCCTTACTAGACTACCTGCATGGTGGGCAAGAGTCAGATATAGTCAGTTCAATTCCTATGCCTAAGTCAATACTGTTATGTACTGAAGTTCTCACCCTGGGCCAGCAGGGGGATACTGTAGATAGTTATGCAAATGAAGGATCGAAAGTGACGTTCAGTGATTGGCTAGTTTTAGAAAGTTGCTACAGTTACGTTGTTCTGGAGCTCTATATAAGCAGGCTGACTGAGCTCTTCAGTTCAGTTCTGTTCTGGCCTCTGAATAAACAAGAGCTGTTTGAAGAATCGCTGTGTCATCTGATATGTTCGCCCACAACTTAACAAATACCACTCACATTCTATAATCAATAAAGATGTGGCCTTCATTATCCCATTAACCTGAAATACTGGTGTCCGCGTGTCTTATTATTCAACAAATGGGGGAGGGCTCAGAGCCTTGACATGCAATAGAATTCATCGCAACACCCATTGATGCCATCGCCACAATCTTTTGGTCACAGCTGCAGCAAAACAGGTGGCACCAAGGAACATGCATGTGAACAATTTAGCACCTGAATCTGTAGCTTCCGTTCATCTCGGAATGGCATGCTAGCGCTGTCCGCTTACCCCTTCAGCTAGCTACACAGCAAGGTAATCTAAAATCCAATGATCACTGTTGTGAATCACCCCACAGCACCAATGCCTGCCAAAAGATCTACAAGACCGTTATATGTTTGCTTGATATTAACAGCAATACCACCTTCCATCCAGAACCTAGTGCAGGCAAGGGACTAATGATGCCCAGTGCCCAAATCATCAACAGTCTGCTTTATAGCAGTGTCTCTGCTATGGAAATGCAATACAAATGGCACTAAATAGCTCAAATCTGTACCTGGTGGTTTACTTATTACGTAGATGAAGAATTGGATCTTTTCAAAGCCAAATTATTTTGTCTAAATGTCAGATGGAGTGAGATGGAATCAAGTGGAACAGAACGGGGGGGAGGGGGGAGAGATGGTTTTGTGAAATAGTCTGCTTAGTTCTTTGATGTTAACCTTAAGTTTTTATTTTGCAGGGGAGAATGTAAATATATTCTTCTCAGTTATATGTTTATGAAAGTAAAGTTCTTTGGAATATGAAGAGTCTGGACATTGTATAGCCTTTACGAAGAAGCTATAAATCACCTAGAAGAGTCTCTACCCCCATCGTTCAGCCCGGACACTGAGATCCAGCTCCGAGGGCCTTCTGTCGGTTCCCTCGCTGCGAGAAGTGAGATTACAGGGAACCATGCAGAGGGCATCAAATTCAGACAGCTCCCCATTCCAAAGGAATTCATTTCCTTTGCAGTTTTTCCTGCATCTGATGTCACTGATTGACAGTTAGGTGTGACATTCAAAGTCTTGAGCATGGGTAGGCAAACTACAGTTTCCGAATCTTGCATCACTATTCAGAATCATTATGTCTTTCAAAAGGTGATGCCTGTCTCTGGTTTCACTTCAAGTCTGATGTCCTTCTTGCACACTCATTGATTTAGACCATAGTATGTTTCTTCCTTCATTGTTCCCTCAGCAGGAAGGCGGAAGGGTTTGTGTGTGGGAAGGTAAAGAGATGGGTAGGCAAACTAAGGCCTGGGGGCCGGATTTGGTCCAATCGCCTTCTAAATCCAGTCCGTGGACAGTCTGGGAATCAGTGTGTTCTTACATGAGTAGAATGTGTCCTTTTATTTAAAATGCATCTCTAGGTTATTTGTGGGGCATAGGACTTCGTTCATTTCCCCCCCCAAAAATATAGTCCGGCCCCCAACAAGGTCTGAGTGATAGTGGACCAGCCCCCTGCTGAAAAAGTTTGCTGACCCCTGGTCTTGAGGGAAGTCTTCAACAAGCAACAACTGACAGTAGACATGGTGCTTGGCTGATATATAGCAGGAAGGGGTTCCAAAGGGAAGATGCCATCACACTAAAGACCTCATCTTGATACCAGGTAGGATGACAGACCCTCCAAGTGCCCCTATTCTCCGGGAACAGTCCAGGATTTACAGAAGCTGTAGAGGTTTTTTGATTTGATCCCAGAATGTCCTGCTTTTCCTTAGGATGTCCCTATTTTCATCGGAGAAATGTTCGAAAGTATAGAGTTATGCGACCCCCTGAGCCAAGGAGATATTTAACTACCTAACCTTTAGAAGACATCTGAAGGCAGCCGTGTAAAGGAAGTTTTTTAACGTTCAATGTTTTATTATGTTTTTATATATGTTGGAAGCTGCCCAGAGTGCCTGGAGCAATCCACTCAGATAGACAGGGTATAAATATTAAAATTATTATTGTTATTATTATGGAGTAGGGCATCCCTATTTTCATCGGATAAATGTTGGAAGGTATGGGATGGATCTCCTGGTAATATGATATCTTGATATAAGATGTCATATGATAATATGATATCATATGATAATACGATATAAAATGATATAAGATGACTTGAAGTTAGCTCAGTAGCTGATATTGATAATAATATAATTGATATAGATCTATATATCTATTATTTAATTTGCTGAATTGAATATAACTCTCTCTCTAAATATATGTATATTTCTATGCTGATTTACACTCGCATGAATCACAAAGCAGCTGGCAAGAATAAATAACAATAGCAGCACTTTTTTTTAAGAGTGACCGCTCCCCGCTTAAAACTGGGGGCGCCCTTTGCGTGGACGCGCACAGCCCCTAGATCTGGAGCGGCTCCAACAGCATAGGCTTGGTTTGCCTTCCCTCAGGTGGGATACCTGGAGGTCTCCGCCTACCTCAGTCAGTTGTCCAATCCCACCTGGGGGAAGCGTTGCCAAGGAGACCAGGCCACGTAGGGGAGGGATTACCTGCCCATGCAATAGAGGGAGGATCTTACCTGGGAATCCTCACTTGGCTCCAGAGCTTCTCCCACCCTACCCACCCTCAGTTAATGTCTTATTTGCAGGTTAACTTTTCTTCATAGGTTTTGCAGGTTAACTTTTCTTCGCAGGTATGCGGGCGCTGCTACATTAAGGTCGCTGTTAAAGGGCCGGAAAGGAATTTCCCTGCATTGGCAGGTTTCGCCTTTCCCGTAGCAAAACGTCACAACTTTGGCGGTATCAGGCCTTGGGCGGAATCCTTTAGTCCATCTTCCTCTTTGCGGCGGCGATACCAGGGTTCCCCGTTAAAGGGGTTTCTGAAGGGAGGCTTTGACCGTACGCCGAAAGGTCGTCATTGCTCTCCCCTGCGGCGGCGGCGTAATGGGGGCGGCTATCTCTGCTTGAACATATGTTCTCCAGAGCCGGCCCATCCCCCACACACACACACTGGATAACCCTGATGCTCCCTAGGTCCCCGGCTGGGGACTGGGGAGGGAGAACGCCCAATGCCTGAGCCAAGGTCTACCCACATTTGAAATTTAATAAAGTTGTGGCCAATTTAATCCCATAGCACGTTGTCATGAGTCGTTATTCCACATGACGGGGGGGACCGCACGGGATCTGGGGACTCTGCCTGTCCACACAAATACTCAACAATACACAATACCAGCACCTCTTTTTGTTGTTGTTAAAAAGTGTGGCACTTACAGTAACAAATTCATGATGAGTACTGGCACCTATTTTTTTGAAAAAGAAAAAAAGCACTGAACATAATAGAACATCACAAATACAACATGAATCAAATAGATTAATTCACAAATAATCCATACAGCAACCACATTCTGTAAAACACTGTTAACAAAACAACTAAAAAAATAAGCTAAACAGCACAACCACAACAAAAGTCATACTATAAGATTCACAAAGCACTAAAGGTAAAGGTAAAGGGACCCCTGACCATTAGGTCCAGTCGTGACCGACTCTGGGGTTGCAGCGCTTATCTCGCTTTATTGGCCGAGGGATCTGGCGTACAGCTTCTGGGTCATGTGGCCAGCATGACTAAGCTGCTTCTGGCAAACCAGAGCAGCGCACGGAAACGCCGTTTACCTTTCCGCTGGAGCGGTACCTATTGATCTACTTGCACTTTGACGTGCTTTTGAACTGCTAGGTTTGCAGGAGCAGGGACTGAGCAACGGGAGCTCACCCCGTCGCAGGGATTTGAACCGCCGACATTCTGATTGGCAAGTCCTAGGCTCTGTGGTTTAACCCACAGCACCACCCGTGTCCCTTTTTCACAAAGCACTACAGCACACATAATCCACAAAACAATATTAACATTAACAAACTAGCAACCAAAAACAAAGCACTGTTGAATTCACACACACATTCTCTCCACACCATAATTCACAATCTTCTTTTCGTTAAAGAATTATTTAGACTTTTTCCATTTTAAGTTTTGCATGCATTCATCATGCTATCATACTCAGATATAGAATTCCCAACCAATCTTCTGTTGACATCCTATATTGCTTCTTTTGATCCGCTACAATGGGATGAAAATTACCGTATTTTTCACTCTATAACACGCACCCGACCATAACACGCATGTAGTTTTTAGAGGAGGAAAATCTGCAGGCATGCCACCCGTAGGCATTCCCTCCATAACACGCACAGACATTTCCCTTTACTTTCTAGGAGGAAAAAAGTGAGTGTTATGGTGCAAAAAATACGGTAAGTAGAAAGCGAGTGGAGACTACTTTAAAAGAGATGGTATTAAGGTAAACTTTCAAGTAGGGACAAACTTCTGAACAGCAGTAGAAAATTTAAGTGAACTTAGAGGGATGAAAGAAGGGTGGGAGAAAAAGAAGAAGATGTGACTCAATCTTCTACTCTGTTCATCAAAAGACAGACACATATGACTTCTAGGACTTCTTCCATCCTAGTTAAAGTAAAACAATGACACTCCTAGCTTACTATCTATTATTATGGAATTTCCTGATACTTCTTTATATCTCTTAATATCTGCTATGGGTTTATTCTTATACTTTATTATACCGACATGATACAAACAAGTTCCGCTTTTCAAAAAATATATATTTTATTTCTCCTCTCTTACTCTTATCAGGTTTGTGAGTTTAATCATATACGCCATCTCCCAGACTTCTGTGAGCCAGGAATTTATTGATGGTGAAAGAGGCTTTTTCCAGTTTTGCAAATTTCCATTTGTGCTGCTGTTACTAAATATGTTGTCACTTTTTGGTCTCCATCTGGTGCTATGCCTTTAAGATATCCAAATATTGTTACAAATGGATCTCTAGGGAGGTCCTGATGAAAAATATGTTTTATTTCTATTAATATGGATTCCCAGTATGTTTTGATGATTGGGCATTCCCAAATTAAATTAAAAATGTTTGTGTTTGGCATTTTATATCAACAGTAGCACTTGTTTGTTATTGTTTATATTTTGTTCTGCCTAGCTGGTGTCAAATACTAGTGAGTCATAATCTTAGGGGGGAAATATTTGAGCTTCATGCAAATAAAATAAGTTACTTTAAATTGTTTTTAATATGGTTTTAATGTTGTAAGTAACTGTTACGGTGAAGTGCAGGTAACAAAATAATTATAATAGCATTTAAAATAATTAAAGCATCAAAAAACACTAAGAAAATGTAAAGATATTTAAAACAATCACTTTCCGTCATAGCTGATAATTTCAAGGTTGCCAGAATCCCCTAACTGCGGCCCTCCAGATGTTTTGGCCTACAACTCCCATGATCCCTAGCTAACAGGACCAGTGGTCAGGGATGATGGGAATTGTAGTCCAAAACATCTGGAAGGCCGAAGGTTGGGGATGCCTGTCTTAGATCCTAAATGCCTGGATAAATAGGAGTATTTTTAAGTTCTTCTGAAAGTTAGTAATATACATTTTTGGACAATTGTGTGCATTGATGTAATAAATATAATTATATTCAATATAAATATATTCCAATATTTGCAATACAAATATTTATACGCAAGAGAAATATTATACCCAAAATCAATACGAGAGACATAACTTTGGAGTCCGGAATCTCTGTTATTCATTGAAAACATTCTTCACTTGAAATGTAGGCTAAACATTTTATTGTACCTGGACTCCAATTTTGTTGCCTCACAAGGGTCTGATAAAATTGCCTTAGGGCCTCAACCAGCTTCGGTGCCATCAGCCATAAATTCCCCCGTATGGGGGAATGAGAATGAGAATAAATTTTGAAGCTAGGCGTGAACAACTTCTCCTTGAATTATCTTGACAAGCAAAATTAGCTGACTCAATACCTTGATAGTAGTCAAGTATCCATATTTATATACAACTTCGGGAAATGATGCGTGTAATGTACTTACTTGTTTATTTCCCTGTAGAGACACGGGACATAATGTGGTGGAAGTTAATGGCGCCAATGCCTCACAGCAGTCAATGGAACTAAGTTCCACACTTACCGTATTTTTTGCACCATAACACTTACTTTTTTCCTCCTAGAAAGTAAGGGGAAATGTCTGTGCGTGTTATGGAGCGAATGCCTACAGGTGGTGGCGGGGATCTGCTGCAGTTGTGAGCAGAGGATCCCCTTCCTTCCCTCCTCCGTGGCTCACTTTGAAACAGCAAAGCGGGAGAAGAGCCGCTGAGTGGGGAGGAGAGAGGGACAGAGAGCCTGCTTGCTTTAAAGGAGCAAAGCGGGAGAGGATAGGAGCCGCTTACACGAGTGTAAGCAGGTCCTGTCCGGTTGGCTCCTTTAAAGCAAGCCGGCTCTCTGTCCCTCTTTCCTCCCCACTCAGCTTGCTAAATAGCCTTATTAGCAGCATCCTTCTCCACACACCCCATGTGTGCTCCTTGTCCCTTGAGTGCTTTTCCTTCCCTCCCCACTTAAAACGTGGTTACAAAGCATGGATCCACATGGATCCTCAGGATTTTGCACTGGGTCACCCCAAATTCACCATCAGATCACATAGCATGTCCATGGCTACATCTTGCACCAAAAATCACGCACCCACTGTTGCCTGGGGTCGCAGTGGTGCAAAAACGTGGTTACAAAGCATGGATCCACATGGATCCTCAGGATTTTTGCATTGGGCTACTCCAAACTCACTGTCAGATCACATGTCTGTGGCCACAGCATGAACCGCAAAAATCATACATCCACTGTTTCGTTTAGAATTTTTCTTTTCTTGTTTTCCTCCTCTAAAAACTACGTGCGTGTTATGGTTGGGTGTGTGTTATAGAGCGAAAAATACGGTAAATGTTTGTTCTGTAGATTTCAACGAGATTTACTGTATAGTTGACCAACCTTTACTGGATTATGTCTAAGGACAGTGTGGCCATTTGTCCTGTCCCAAGAAAGGTGTCATTATTTGTTGTTGCCAGCTTTATTGTCCTAGGACACATTTAGAGATCTAAGTTGGGTGCACCACAAAACTTCCCTGAGCGAATGCAAAATATTTCCCCTCAATATTTATTTTCACAATAATTCATTTTGGTGCAGTTGTATTTTAAATTGATTTTCTCAGTAGGTATGCATATAAATATATTATAGACATTATTATTATTAATTATACATCCTGTGACTTGATGCCTCGTGTGGGGGAACCTCCCACACCTTCTTCTTCTTTGGCAATCACCCATAGCTGAGTAAGATTGCCTTCCATAAACATGGTTTTAACAATGAGTCCATAAGTGACTGTGGAGGCCAATTCTGGATCCACACGTCCTTCCACAGTGGGGACATTGGTTCCCGGGTAAGGGTTGATCACGGTGAGGGTTTGCCAAGCATGCCTTCCTCTTACCACATTTCTCCCTTGTGTCCTGAGTTCGAGTATCTTCAAAGCCCATTATACCTTTGGTAAAGGCTGTTCTTCAATTGGAGCGCTTGCAGGCTAGTGTTTCCCAGTTGTCGGTGTTTATACTAAAAAAAAAAAAGATTTGCCTTGAGAGAGTCTTTAAACCTTTTTTGTTGACCACCAGCATTATGCTTTCCATTTTAAAGTTTGGAATAGAGTAGTTGCTTTGGAAGATGATCATCAGGCATCCGCACAACATGACCAGTCCAGCGAAGTTGATGTTGAAGAATCATTACTTCAACACTGGTGATCTTTGCTTCTTCCAGTACACTGGCATTAGTTCACCACCCTAAATCCAGCACTGATCTTGCCATAGCCAGACTAAGCAATCTTAGTGGATCACATAGGTGTACGCTGTATATTTGTGGTGTGCAAATGTTAACTTTCAGAAATATGGCTTTCCCCCTCTCAAGAAATGCTCTAGAAATGCCATGGAAATTATAGTTTTTGGTCAAGATGCAATTAAATGAGATGGATGTTTGAAAAATAGAACATCATTTTATGGCTAAAGTACTGCATAATATACTAGACACATCTGGCAACGGATATGCAGCTGAAGTGCTGCCATATTTATCCTTAGCAGCTGGTATTTCATTGGAAGATAAAGCTTTTTATAACACAAGCAAACACTCTTGTTTCCTTAAAGCTATGTAGACATTTCTAGGGATTTCACAGTGATGGAACCTAAACTGAAATTTGGAAATGATGGAGCGCTCATAAGACTTATTCACCATCAAAATGTAGTGATTTCATTGAAAGAAGTTAGAAAAAATGTACCAGCACTCTTCATGAAAAAATGACAGATATGGAAGAAGCAAGGGAATAAGTAAGGTTGTAGAGTAGGTGCCCTTCAGGTGTTGTGGACTATATAAACCAGTCTTGGGAAACTCCAGCCCTCCAGATGTTTTGAGATTACAATCCCCATCATCCCTGACCACTGGTCCTTTTAGCTAGGGATGATGGGAGTTGTAGTTCCAAAACATCTGGAGGGCTGGATTTTGCCTATGCATGATATAAACTCTGAAGGTTTCATTTGTAGTTATAAGAGAGGAACCGCCAGAAAACTTGTTTTGCCAGATGCAAACAGGTTCTTTTCTCAATGGATCTATGATCAACAACAAATCACTTAGGGGGAAAGGATGAACTTTATTGAACAAAATGGGCCTCTATACTCGCATACAACAGTGCAAAACCTCCCCAGACAGAGACAACCAATGTCTCCCCAAGCATACACACACAAATAGACAATTCCCCACAACACATTTACCCAAACAACCAACATACAGTATCAGACCACTAACCCAAATCTCTCTTCCTAGCTGCAGGGAGCCAAAGGGGGAGCAGCAGGAGTGTTGTTGCTGTTGTTTAGTCGTGTACGACTCTTCTTGACCCCATGGACCAGAGCATGCCAGGCACTCCTGTCTTCCACTGCCTCCCGCAGTTTGGTCAAACTCATGCTGGTAGCTTCGAGAACATTGTCCAACCATCTCATCCTCTGTCGTCCCCTTCTCCTTGTGCCCTCCATCTTTCCCAACATTAGGGTCTTTTCCAGGGAGTCTTTTCTTCTCATGAGGTGGCCAAAGTATTGGAGTCTCAGCTTCAGGATCTGTCCTTCCAGTGAGCACTCAGGGCTGATTTCCTTAAGAATGGATAGGTTTGATCTTCTTGCAGTCCATGGGACTCTCAAGAGTCTCCTCCAGCACCATAATTCAAAAGCATCAATTCTTCGGCGATCAGCCTTCTTTATGGTCCAGCTCTCACTTCCATACATCACTACTGGGAAAACCATAGCTTTAACTACATGGACCTTTGTACGGTTGCCATTTCAAAAAGTAAAAACCAGGTCACCCCGAAAGTTGAGCTTTTTTAAGGAAGACCCCAAAATTGTTGAGCTGGTTTTTTTGGACTTAAGGTGGCTTAAATGAAGGGTTAATTGTGGAAGGTCACCTATGCCTTCTCAACCATCTTCCACATTTCCACTACAGAACTACGTCTTTGCTTCCTCTTTCCCCCTTTTCTGTGATTCATCAGCAATGAAAGCACAAAATATAATAATCTAACCATCAGCTAGAAACCTCAGGGGTCATTTGAGAGACCCAACAGAGACTATCATGCTATTGAACTGCCATGTTTCTGTGACTTTTCTTTGCTCATAGGCTGGAGTATGAGCTCGGTCAGCTGGAATTAGGCTACCCCAAACAAATCCCCGGAGCCAACAAAAGATGTATCTTGGCGTAATTCACAAAAGAGGCTGTAGGTTACACACTTGGAGACTTTTCAGAAATGTTTCTGGTTTTATTCTCTCTCCTTTTTTTGCCTTTTCCCTTGGGATTCTTTGCTGGAGCTAGCAATCGCAACAAAACTAATCTATTTTGATAGGAGTATCCTTTATAGAAACCAAATCAAACTAATTTCCTTTGACTGCTCTCCTCCCCCTCCAGTTTTGTATAATAAGCCATCTGGCTTAGCCAAGATTTTCTTTAATTTTCTATCCTTGTCCTCATGGTTCTCCGAGACATGATAAGATCCAGTAATACAAAGCTCCCCCAATATAAATCCTATGAATAAAATACATTGACAGCAGGACTGACGTTGTCTCACTTCAAAGCAGCAATGAAAGAGGAAACTTGGAACACATTTGTTGCATGAAAGTTTTTGGGGAGAGTAACAAAACGTTCAAGAATATAACCTATAATATTGCCATGGACTTGAATGCTCCGCTGTGTGCTTAATTCTTATTAATTTAAATAAAATATTTCTTTGTCTGCCTTTCTGTAGCTTATGCCTATAGTATCTTAGGTCTAGCTGGTGGTAACCATGAAATTCAGCAGTTGTACAAAGAGCTTCTTATACTCCCTCCATGATGTCAAGGCTCATATAGAGGTGTACAATATATATTTCAAAGGTGTGTGGAAATAATGAAGATGGACATAGGAGAGTTCAATTCAAATCCCTCCTCAGACCTGATACTTAGTTTGAACAGGCCTCTGTATCAGAGATGAGGGAACATGTGGACTCCTCATTCGCCCAAGCTAATTTGGCCAATGGTCAAAGATGATGATGGAAACTGCAGTCCAATAATATTTGGAGGCCCATTATAATAATCTCAAAACTATTTGGAGGGCAAGTGATAAAAAATGATCGGTGAGCAAAGAAGTACAAATAATTTTGTGAATGAAAAGTAGCATATGAGTGGGTTGGACTTGGCAAAACAGTGGTGGAAAAAGATAAAACCCTACTGGGAAATGATATATAATGAATTGGGGGGGGGGAATGTTTAAGATAACTTTTATTAACAAACCAGAGGCTTCTCTTTGGGGAATTATGGGACTAGAGATTCCTAAACAATATAAAGATCCATTTATGTATGCGACCACGGTCACTCGAATCTCATTTATCCAAGGATGGAAGCAAGAAAAGAAGAATGGCCACAGAAACTACTGGATTATGCAGAAATCGCGAAGCTTACCGAAAAATAAGAAATCAAGACGACCAAGTTAAATGTAGAGTGGAAATTGTTTATTGAATATTAACAAAAATATTGCAAACATTAGCAGGATTAATGTAAAAACATGCAGTGATACTAAACAAATATTGACTATATGTGATAAATAATATGTTTAATTTCAGTAACAATATTATAAACATAAGGAACTGCAGAAAGAGGGGAAGGGAAACAAAATATGATATATGTAATAACTTGATTTTCAATAGTTTTTTTGCTTTTTGTTTGTTGTTAAATGAAAATTATAAATAATTTTTTTAAAAAAAATGGTGGAAAAGAAGGCTAGCTTCAAAGACAAACAAAGAAACAAAACATCTTACATGGCCCACACAATAAGAGGCATTTGTTACCAGATCTCTCAAACACAAATTCTGGTTGTTAACCTGTTAGCTCTGCTGAAAGAACTAGTCCGGTGCGATGGAATGAGTAAGGCAAGGGAATTTGAGTGCAATTTTTGCATTCTGCCTTCATTTTCTTCTTTCCTCTCTGTGTTTGTGTGTGTGTGTATGTTTGTTCTAGCTCAATGGAATGTAAAAATCATGCTGGTCTCAGCATGCACAGTCTGTAGTCATGTCAGCTGTTCTTTTCCATGACAGAGAAAGGGGGTGGGCTGCTTCTTATCATCTTTACTTTAAAAGGAACAACAAAGTGCTGAGCTCCTTCCTGCGCCTCGGTTCCTCCGCATCTACATCAACAGGATGTTATTTTCCACCGTTGCATTGCAAAGATGCCCTATGCTTCTTTTTAAAGTTTTGAGATAATGTCCTCCTGAAAAACACCTGATTGACAGCCCCGGAGACTGAGAATTTGTGTTTCTACACATGAGGAATGACAAGCACAGAAGCTTCCCTGCAGTTTTGCCAATGAGACTTGATGCTGTTTTGGAAGATCAGGGGCGAAGGAGGAGAGTTCTGACTCTATGCCCTATCAATCAATAGCCTCTTTAATCTGTAAAGAAGAATGCTGGTTGTAATTGGGGAGAGGGAGTTGTTAGGCAATCATGTGTCAGATTCTATTGTGATTTTTTCCTTAACTGCCTCAGCCAAACAGTGATCCATACAGACATCTGTGACACCGCCACTATTTACTCTTTGCTTACCATAGGAAGCAGATATGATATCCAGCATTGATTCCATGGAATACTTACAATTGGCTTTAATTGCTTATGTATTCATTATGGATTATTAATAGCAGCATGTGGGTGTACAGCTTGTTTATCGCCAGAACCTGGGGACCATTTAGAAAGTTTGAATAATCAGGATAAGCGTCACATTCCATGGTTTTTCCCACGCATAAAATACCTCTGTGTGTATCAAGCCCACACATGGTGCCTACCAGAGCTTGGAAAGTTTATTTAAAAAAGAACAAGTTATAGTTCCAGTTAAACATGTCCCAAAAGGAACTAATTTCAGTTCACATTCATCCTTTCACAAAACAAGCTAGGTTGGTTCATGTTCAGTTAAGTTTCAATTCATGTTCATTTAAATCTGATCCTCAGTAGTAGTAGTAGTAGTAGTAGTAATTTATTTATATCCCGCCCATCTGGCTGGGTTTCCCCAGCCACTATGGGCGGCTTTCAACAGAATATTAAAATACAATAGTCTATTAAACATTAAAAGCTTCCCTAAAAAGGACTGCCTTCAGATGTCTTCTAAAAGTCTGGTAGTTGTTTTTCTCTTTGACATCTGGCAGGAGGGAGTTCCACATGGTGGGTGCCACTACCGAGAAGGCCCTCTGCCTGGTTCCCTGTAACTTGGCTACTCGCAATGAGGGAACCACCAGAAGGCCCTCGGCAATATACCTCAGTGTCCGGGCAGAATGATGGGGGTGGAGACGCTCCTTCAGGTATAGTAATAATCAGCATTTAGAATATTACCCAGCTGATGTGCTGAACTATAAAATACTAAGTATGCTGAGAAAACATCAAAGCACATACATAGCGGTATTTGAAATCTATTTTCTCCAACAATTATGATCTGTAAGCTTAAAGGGCCAAGGAATCTAAATACTGTATTTTCTGGCATATAAGACTACTTTTTAACCCAGGAAAATCTTCTCAAAAGTCGGGGGTCGTCTTAAATGCTGGCTACAGAAGCAGCTCCTGCAGCAACTCCCCACCAAAGGACAAAATGACAGCAAATTAAATCAGAGGACACCAAGCTCTCTAGATGAAGCAGAAATACGCTTGAAAATTGGCCCCAGAAGCCCCCCCAATCACCAGTGACAGAATGACCCTAACCGCTCCCGGTAGTAGACCACGTGGTCCAAAATGGCGGCCTTGCGTTGCCCCAGCAACTAGACATGTGGCCGCTGCCTCAGCCCAAGCAGCCCCCGCAGTAAAAGAAAAGGAAAGGCTCACAACAAAGGCAGGGAACCAACAACAGCATTAAGCACACCCCCGGCCACTGGGAAGTGGATTTCCGAGCCGGACTGGAGACTGTTTTTTTTTAAATTATTATTTGGTGTGCGTTGGAAGAGGGGTAGTCTTATACGGTGAGTATATCCCAAACTCTATATTTTAACTGGAAAAGTTGGAGGTCATATATGCCCAGTCGTCTTACACGCCGGAAAATACGGTAGGTTTTTTATTTAATTTAAAAAAATGTAAGAGAATTAACTTTGAACTAGAAACCAATCAGAGTTCTCCACCCAAACAAAATTAATTCAGTTAAGTTAAGCCGACAATTATGAGAAATCGTGTCCCCCCTTAAGCTGTCTTAGAGTGACATTGAATTCTTCCTTTTGGATAAGTTCTGGGACAATAGAAGCTGAGCAGTTGTACTGTATGTTTGTGGTAGGGAAGTGTGATCTTACTGCCCTCTGTTTGTATGGACCAGATGAGGTATCATCTGAGCGAAACCTCTTTCATTTTGCACAGCAAATCACACACAAAAAAATTCAATCTAAAGCGTTTGAGTATACCCATAAACATGGGCCATTTTGTGCTCAGTTCAGTAATATCAATGAAAACAGACACCAGCACAATATAGCTAAGTTCAGTTTCTTCGATACACTTTCCCAGCAGTAATGACCTACATGGTCAGAATCAGGAAAGTATATTTATCTACAACCTGCCACTCACTGGGACTTAGATGTATAGTCAATCTTCTAATATTTCCAAGCCTCCTTTATGACACAGCACAGTTGTTAAGGCATCAGCTAGAGCTGGCATTTCTGGCAGAGAAAATAGCCTGTATCTGCAGTCTGCTGAATGTTTTCCAATCACAAATCTGAATTGCCATCGAGATGGTTGACACGTTGGGAATTTTCCAAATGAACACACTGTACAAGCAAACTAGTAGCTCACAACAAACAGTATCATAAGAGGCTACTTCCAGTATGGCAACAGCTTGAATTGGAACCTGTGCCAACTAAAATATAGTTCCTTGGAGGATTTCATTCTGGCAGCATAAATGAAGGGTCTTGCCTGTGATGAAACTTGCAAAGAAGGAAAGAAAGAAAGAAAGAAAGAAAGAAAGAAAGAAAGAAAGAAAGAAAGCTGATGAGGGTAAAAATCACTTCCTTTGGAAAAAACAGAAGACAAAAAGAGCAATGTGTTTTTTTGTGATAAACTGCATGTATATTTAAAGACTCTCTGAGCCAGACTATGTTATCACCCAAAGGATTTACACTGAAGAAATGATTCACACATTCAAGTACATCACTTAATGTCTTAGCACTCAGTCATGCAGCACTCAGTGACTCACCACTGAATGTGTGAAATGTCTCCCTGGAAAAGTATTACGTTTGAGGTGATGGCAGGTAACACGAAACTATTGCTCTCTCCGTGATGTCAAAGGGTGTCTCATTCATCCAAGTCAACACTGGATGGTACATTTTTTTCAATGGTATCTGTGGTAGATCTGAAATATAATGGGCTTTGATGCTGTTCCTCCAGAGATTGCACAGGCTTTTTCTGAAATGCTTTTTAAAAAACGAACTTTGGTTTCAGAATACATATGCTACGTAGTTTGCTTCAGACACAAAAGTGAGTTGTTTAATCTCTATTTTATTTATGCCCATTTTTATACTTGTTACTACCTCTAGAGCTCGAAGCAATTTGCAACATATAAACAAATACAAAAGCAATTAAATACAAGGAAATCAACTGTTTTACAAAACAATAATAAATAAATAATAATAATTTTTCATTTATACCCCGCCCTTCCCGGTTCAGAAAACCGGGCTCAGGGCAGCTAACAACAAATTTAAAACACTTAATTGATGCAATAAAAAACAGCATAAGATACAGTATAAAATGTGAATAACAATAAATTCAGAATCAGGTTACGGGGGAAAATCCATCCAATAAACATTAGATGATCACCAGGGCTAGTTGGCTAAATTAGTCCTATTTGGGCCAGCGAGGAGATCAGGGGAGAATTAGCTGTGGGATCCCAGAGCGGGTAATCTTCATAAAAAGGGGAGGGGGAGGGAAGGAAGGGGAATAAAAGATCAGGCTAAGTTCAAATTGAAAGTCAGGTGGAATAGCTCTGGGATATTATATTTATATAAAGAAATATATAAACTGTATCCATGCACATCATGTATCCATGTGCATTAACTCTCTGTCTCTCTCTAAGCAGAGAGTATTACGATGCAGTGTAATGTAAAATTTCAATCAACATAGCATGTGTCATTCATAAAACCATTCAGCCATCCATTTCATGAAGCCACTATCTCAGACACTATCTCCTATTAACCAATCACTCATTCAATAAACACCCATATTCATGCCCTGTTGAGACTTGGTTTTTTGGAGGGACCCTTTTATTTACACAGCATAGACACTTCCCCAAATCCTCTCTTACAAAAAATATGGAACCTTTCATGAGTTTGCATGTTATCCTTGCGCAGGGGCCATGCTAATCTTCTCCACATTGTTCCAGTTTGATTATATGTGCTCTTTTGTTTTTGATGCAGCCACAAGTGCACACCCTTCAACAGGGGCAGAGGAAGGGGGTGGGGATGGGCATACCACTCCAGGTGTCATCACTGAGAGGATGCCAAAATGCCGGGTGGCCCTCACTGTGGGGCCTGCAGCGTGCCCGAGCCATGCGTCTCTCCTGGGAGTGACACGGTGGCTTGGGCACCCCGGGCTCCACGTTGCCCCAAACGGCCTGCCAAAATTCCCTGCCCAATCAAGTACCTGTATTTGCTGCTCTGTCATGAATTTCTTTACCACTTTCGATGTGTGACTGCAATATCCCAGTACCGTCAGGATACCTCTTTTCCAGCTCTGGAATAACTCTCTTTCGCAGAACCTCAATATTTTGTGGTGAGTGCATCATTCCTTCCATTGGCTGCAGGCTTGCAACACCATAATGATCAACTGACTTTTCGTGTTTGTTTTGAGTACAGGATTATGAGTAAGATAGAAAACATGCTTTGTTTCAATTAATTTGCGCAAGGGTGTACTTAGTTAAACCCAGTGCTTTTTTTCTGGGGGGACGCAGGGGTACGCATACCCCAAAACATTTTGTGACTCTAAGTTTGGCCTCATTGAGGGGCAGTATTTCAGTATGTGTAGGAAAATAAGAGTGCCCCCAAACATTTCTTTAAAGAAATAAACCGTTAAACTGTTAAATAGTTAGACCGACTGTCTGGGCCAACTCTGGTTCAAAGATAAAGTCATGGGAATTAAAAGCATCAACTCATCAACAGTTAACACCTGGGCAACGCATTGAGCAGGCACACAGGTTACCTGGAGAGACTCTTCCTCACCATGTTAAGGTGTACTGTATTGAATTTCTATTTAAACTATAGTAATGATTTCTAAATTTGAATCCATAAATATAAATTAGCATATGCAGGTGTTATGTAAATCTGTTTCTCTCTCTCTCTCTCTCTCTCTCTCTCTCTCTCTTTTCCCTTTGGTGATACCTCTTCCTCTGCTTTGATGTTGGTTCGTTCATTACAGATTCCATAACAATAAGGTTTATAAAAAAAAAAATTGGGGTCTGAAATGTATTTTGATACGCACCTCCTGGATTATTAATCTGTGGATTGGAGCTTGGTTACACACCTCATTTTGCTTTTCTCAGATGTTCTGAGGAAGGTCTCAACACAAAGAGCATATGAAAATACAGTTAAAATGCATCTTTGTGAGGAAAAAAATGCATTTAAAATGTGTATTCTGAGAGAAAATAAATTTAAATGCATTTTAAATGGAAATATATATATACTCCAGGGATGTGGGTGGTGCTGTGGGTTAAACCACAGAGCCTAGGGCTTGCCGATCAGAAGGTCGGCGGTTCGAATCCCCACGACGGGGTGAGCTCCCATTGCTCAGTCCCTGCTCCTGCCAACCTAGCAGTTTGAAAGCACATCAATGTGCAAGTAGATAAATAGGTACCGCTCTGGCGGGAAGGTAAACGGCGTTTCCGTGCACTGCTCTGGTTCACCAGAAGCATCTTAGTCATGCTGGCCACACGACCCGGAAGCTGTACGCCAGCTCCCTTGGCCAATAAAGCGAGATGAGTGCCGCAACCCCAGAGTCGGTCACGACTGGACCTAATGGTCAGGGCCCCTTTACCTTTTACCTTTATATATACTCCTCCAGAATAATGATAAAGTGGGCTGGATTGGAATTATGAGTGGACACATGTGAAAGCAGCACAAATGAGATAAAGGTTGATTTCCCCCTTCCCAAACTTGCAACAAATTGTTTTAACATAGCGCCTCCGACTCCGATTCTGGGCTACAGCCAATTTGAATCACAAGTCTTGTTGCTGCTAAGACTTTAGGAAAGGAAAAAGGCACTTTTTTAAAGGATGACAGTTTCCCTCTTCTTTCTAGCTATAAGAGCACTAATTAATCTGTAATGAATGTTAATGCAGTTAATGCTATTTCTGTATGTAGGGTTTCATTTTGGGTTCCATTTTTCCTTTACCTGGTATCCCAAATCCCCACCCCGTAAATGATTTTTTTTTTTTTTGCTAATTAGCAAATTCAAACCTTGATGAAAAGCAGACATTCTAATTACCCTTTTCCATTACCCAGTTCCGCAAAATCTATGAACAGAATGCAGCCGCATGCTAGGTTATCGACAGGATTAAAGTAAATACACAGACAAAAGAAAACTACATTCTTGGGGAAATAAGCTTTTCTGTCCATGAAATAATCATTATTGGAATATGCCTGCGGTGGGTGGGTGATCTACCCTTACTAAAATACACAAATAGCTGCAGTTTTACTGCATTGTACTTCCAAAGATGGTGAAATACTGAGAAGCACTTAACAATCCAGCAGTTTCCGAATCTTGTATCAGTATTCAGAATCGTTATGTCTTTCAAAAGGAGATGTCTGTCTCTGGTTTCGCTTCAAGTCTGATGTCCTCCTTGCACTCTCATTGATTTAGACCATGGTATGTTTTTTCCTTCATTGTTCCCTCAGCAGGAAGGTGGAAGGGTTTGTGTGTGGAAAGGTAAAGAGATGGGTAGGCAAACTAAGGCCCGGGGGCCGGATCCGGCCCAATCGCCTTCGAAATCCGGCCTGCAGATGGTCCAGGAATCAGCGTGCTTTTACATGAGTAGAATGTGTCCTTTTATTTAAAATGCATCTCTGGGTTATTTGTGGGGCATAGGTATTCATTCATTTTTATTTTTATTTTCAAAATATAGTCTGCCCCCCCCCACAAGGTCTGAGGGACAGTGGACTGGTCCCCTGCTGAAAAGGTTTGCTGACCCCTGGGTAAAGATATCAGAAAAATTTTCCGAAATTGCTATATATTCAGGGGTCATATGGCTCTCAAAGTCTGCCCCAGAACTAATGCTTCATTTCATATGCTCTTGTCAATTTTTATGTTAATTACTCAGTGGTTTCTTTCTAGCACTGCAAAAAAATAAATGAACTTTTTATCCATAAAACAAAGAAATTGTGGGTGTTGTGCTACTGTTCTTACTTTGAAAATACACCTCTGGCCATTAGCAACTTTGGCAACAGATCGAACAAATACTTGGTCAGCTCTTTAGTTATGCAAAGGCCCATTCTTCCAACAAATTGGAAGTGCTAGGAGGTCTGCTTAAGAGAAGATGCTGGTTTGCACAACTTTGCAGCCCTCCTCTTCTGTGGACTCAAAACTGGCAGTGATAAAAATCACAGGACTGGATGGGCGTAGCAGATTTTTAGACAACAAAAAAGGAGAGATCAGATGTCTCAACGGGCTCAGCCTAAATGGGGCATCTCACCAATAAAAACACTGCCTCTGTACAGTAAGGTAAAGGTAAAGGATCCCTGACAATTAAGTCCAGTCACAGACGACTCCGGGGTTGCGGCGCTCATCTCACTTTACAGGCTGAGGGAGCCGGCGTTTGCCTGCAGACAGTTTTTCTGGGTCATGTGGCCAGCATGACTAAACCACTTCTGGTGCAACAGAACACCGAAACCACAGCAGCGCATGGAAACGCCATTTACCTTCCCGCCGGAGTGGTACCTATTTATTTACTTGCACTTTTGGGTGTGCTTTCAAACTGCTAGGTTGGCAGGAGCTGGGACAGAGCAATGGGAGCTCACCCCGTTGCGGGGATTCAAACCCCCGACCTTCTGATCGGCAAGCCCAAGAGGCTCAGTGGTTTAGACCACAGTGCCACCCACCACCCCCTGTACAGTACTCATGATTTAATCTATACTTCCATACCCTCCAAGTGTCACGGTTTTCCAGGGACAGTCCCGGAATTACAAAAGCCATCCCGGCTTCTGATTTGATCCTGGAATGTCCCTATTTCCCCTTCCGAGCTCAAGGAAAAGGATGAGCTGGCGCTGGACCTGAGCAACAGTGGAGGCTGCGAGGGAGCTTCCCATGGCCTCTCCATGGCCTTTCCATGGCTGCCACTGCAGACCTCCTCCCTTGGGCTGTTTGTAGTGGTTGCTGGAGAGTGGGTGAGGAGGAGGACAAGAGGATGCTGCTTCTGAGGCCCAACGCAATGCTGGCTCTGAGAGGCAGGCAGAGGACAGTGGGAAGAAAGGGGGAGTAGAGCGGAGCTCAAGGAGTCTTGATTTATTATTAAATCAATAATAATGTTGGGGGAAGGGAGTGAAAAATGCCCCTATTTTCATCTTCAGGCACCCAATCGGCTTGCTCCTCCGCTGTCCTTCAACATTCCTCAGATGAAAATAGGGGCATTTTTCACTCCTGCCCAACTGACCTTCCTTGACCAATCCATTTTTGGTCCCTTCCCCTCCCACCACTGGTACTCCTTATGGTAAGAGCATGGAGCAGATGCAGTCGTATGACGTGATATTGCCAAAGCTTGCAATTCCTGGGTGTCTCAGAATTCGAAGTGCCCTGGACGCAGCGGTACTGCAAGCCAATCGGGCGTCTGGGGTGGTGCTCGTGCCCTGCCTATGGGGCTGGGCAAGCCGGGGCAGGATGCATTGAGAATTTGTGGGCTATATGCAAACATCGCCTCCGTGCTGTAGACTGGACAACTATGGAGAAGCTCATTCAGGCACTGATTCAAGTGTGGTACAGGGACCCGAAAATCAGCAGTGACTGCTCGAAACTAGTAGACATCTCTAGAAGTTGACTGGTAAACAGTTCATTTACAAAGTGCAGGCCCTTTATGTAATAGGGTGGCTAAATGTTCTCTATTTCAAGGAGTTACACCCTTGTGCAAATTAATTGAAACAAGCAATGTACTTTATTGTACAAAACTCACATATACATGTACAAAACTCACATATATCTACATTAGTAACGGATATCACCTCCGCTATTTTTAAGCAGCATTTGAACACGGTTTGGCATGGAGTCTACTAGTTTCGAGCAGTCACTGTTGATTTTCGGGTCCCTGTACCACACTTGAATCAGCGCCTGAATGAGCTTCTCCGTAGTCGTCCAGTCTACAGCACGGAGGCGACGTTAGCATATAGCCCACAAATTTCCTTCACTTCTCAAAATGCCTTTGGGGCAAGTCCATTTCTTTA